ATAGGGGGAGGGCTGGGTGGCAGCGGGTGGATGGCTCATCCCGTGCCAGGTGCAGGGGCTGCTGGCTGGGTGCTGGCAGGCTTTCAACTGGCACGAGCACTGTAGCCAGACCATGGCCCTTTAAGGGCTCCGGGGCCGGGAGGGGGGCAGAAGAGTTTTCCTGGTTTGGCCCAGAGTGGCCACGAGGGCAAGCTGGGAAGGGCTAGCCTCCCACTAGTTCGAATTAAGTGGCTACACAGCCCTTAATTCGAACTACTTAATTCGAACTAGGCATTAGTCCTCTTAGAATGAGGTTTACCTAGTTCGAATTAAGCGCTCCGCTAGTTCGAATTAAGTTCGAACTAACAGTTTGTATGTGTAGCGCCTATGAAAGTTAATTCGAACTAACGTCTGTTAGTTCAAATTAACTTTGTAGTGTAGACATACCCTCAGGGAGGATGTGGCCCACTTCTAGCAGCTGATGTGGAGGTGTGAACACCAAGATAGGAGAAACTGCTTTTGTAGTTGTCTAACCATTCACAGTCTTTGTTTAATACTAAATTGATAGTGTCAAGTTTGCAAATGAATTATAGCTCTGCAGTTTCTCTTTGAAGTCTGTTTTTGAAGCTTTTTATTTTTTTTTACAGGATGGCTACTTTTAAATCTGCTACTGTGTGTCCAGGGAGATTGAAGTGTTCTCCTACAGGTTTTTGTATGTTACCATTCTTGATATCTGATTTGTGTCCGTTTATTCTTTTACATAGGGACTATCCAGTTTGGCTAATGTATATGACAGAGGGACATTGCTGGCACATGATGGCATATATTATATTGGCAGATGTACCCTGCAGGAAAGGGCCCACTGTCCAGGCCACAAATGGCCTGGCTCAAAGCACATCACCTTCATCTGGCCCGAGAACTGTTGGTCTCAGCTCACAGATGAGGGTAAGGCTTCAGGCACCCTGCCTCTTGGGATGACTGACCATCTCTCTGTTCTCCACAGCCAGACAGGCTGCGAGAGCGGGGAGGTTGACACCACCTGGGCCAGACTCCCGACACCAGGTGACCCACAGGCGCTGGAGAACCAGAAAGAACTCATGCAGGAGCACATCTCTGCACTCCGATCCCTGCAGGACCAGAGACTGAAGGAGGACATCCGGGTGTGGCAAGAGACCTGAAGGGAGTTGCTGGAACAGGGCCGCACCATGCGCATGGCAGTTCAAGCGCTCACTGTCGGCATGGTACCTGCTCCTGCTCCTGCTCCTGTTCCACCTAGGTCCAACCATAGCTCCTGCTCTTCCTTCTCCCCCTAGACCTCCTCCCACTCTGTAGCCGCCGAGGTCCCTGCACCAGAGCCAGGCACCACTCCCAGTCCCAGCCCTGAACCTCTTCTCACCCCTTCGCCCCCTTCCAGCTCCCTCCTCCCCCTCCAAGGTTCTCATCCCCCCTCCTACTTCTCTCCCCACTCTCCTCCCCTCTCCCACATTCTTTTCCTGATCCCTCCTCAGTTACTTATACCCCAAATAAAAAAACAAAGTGTTTATTTTTTTCCAAAATAAAAAGTGTGTTTTATTGTCTCTGTATGGGCCAGGTCCCCTCTTGGTATAAATTGGCATAGTTGAATTGACACAAGTGGAGCTTAGCTGATTTACATCAACTGAGGTGCCTATATCACTTTTGCAATGTAAAATAATGTGTATTTGGGCCTGAATTGTGAAATGATGCCTTGCCTCCAAATTTTCACAAAATGTGAGAGAATGCAGTTCCTGGGCTTTGGTTCAGCCCACTGCAGAGACTAGGGGCTGCCATAAAGTTGGAATGCAGAAGTGGATTTCATCAAATGTCAAGTGTGTTCAGGCCCACCTTTGACATAAAGCAAACAATCAAAACAAACTGGTACTTTGTTCAGTTCTCCCAACCAACACAGGGAGCTCAGCTAGCTGTGAAGGTAGTTGGCCTTGATGCTGCACTTCCAGCACCTACAGAACTCCCACTGGATCCAATAAAAATTTTCAGTATTTCATTCTGGACTACAAAAATAAAATACTGGATCTTTTACCCAGAAGACTGGAGACACATTGAATATCAGTGTCTGTAGAAGGCAACACCCAGATGTAAGAGTGACTCATTCACAGCCTTGATATTTGACAAACAGAATGACTTTAATCAGACATTTCCATTTTGTTAATAATGCTCAGTAAAAACAGATGAGCCTCCTAGATTATAACAGTTGGTATTAATCTTACAAATGTAATAAGCCACTGCCATAGTTAGGGAGACAGAATGCATTATTTTAGCTAATTTGTTTAGAGAACTTAACATGGCATTGAAATAGTAAGGCTAAAGACTAAATAATTGTTTAAATGCTCCTGAATTTTACTAAGTAGCAGTCTCTGAAAATACAGAGACACAGAAAGTAGTTAGCATGCGAAACATTTTCAAAAGTGCATAAGTCCCATTTGCAAAGTAAACAAAGCACTTAAGAGCCACTCCCACTGACTTTGAAAATGGGATGTAGGTGCTGAAGTCATTTATATGCTTGTAAAAATGTTCTCTGAAGTCCATTTATTATGCCATCAAATTACAAAAAGATACTGTGGCTGAAAAATTTCCAAACTCCTATTAATTCTCATGGAAAGTGGACATTTATGTAGCTTTGAAAATATTAGTTTATACTGTCAAGATGCTACATAACCATTACCCCTAAGCTATACAAACAGCATGATTATAATTTATTATTTATTTGGCAATAGCATCTAGGAGTCCCAGGCAGGATCAGAACCTCATTGTCCAAGGTGCTGTATAAACAAGTGAAAGGAGACAATCTCTCCTCCAAAAAGATCATATGCACTTTCCAGACATTAATATATATTGTACTAAGATACAAAAATACATACAGAGGCTAGTAAACACACAGGAGATCTCAGCGTTGTTTTGTCTTCGTTTTCTTTCTTTTTAAGTTCTTCATCCCCCTCCATTTTAGTCAATGCTAAACAAATAAAGATAATTAAAGAAGAGGGACCTCAAAGTGTTTGACACTGTCAGTTGTGTAGTTCCTGTTTCCCTTAACTGACTGGACCAAGCAACTACCCAGCCCATCACTACGTCCTGGCCCAGGTTGTAGACATCTTTTGGATCAGGTTGTAGAGGTCTGTATCTTTGTAGCTGAATGTCCCAAGTACTAGCCTATATTTTGAAGAATATGGTGCCAGTATGTGTGTCTAGTTCTAGTTTGTTACATGCGGCACATTCTTTATGTGCAGCACTGAGAGGTGGGTGATACATGATGCCTCCTTATTTTCATAATCAGAGTATAATTAATGTTATTCAGTATCATGGGGAGAATAGGACAGATGGAATCCATCAGTTGGAAATGGGAGCAACACATGAGTTATTTTTTCAGTCAGCTGCTTTCAGTTGTTTTAGTGTCTGCTGCACATGCATGCACACTGTCTGTCAATGAAAAGCCCAGATATACAGTTGCTCCAGGTATACAGTGGTGTGACTTAGAGCAGAATTTGGCCCTAAGCCTCTCACTGGCACAGATTTCTTTATTTTTTTATTTATTAAAACGTAGTCCTTCATAACCTCCGGGAACATGCACAATCAGTATAAAACAGTAATTAAAACAACCCACAATTGACTAGATTTGTCTGGATAAAGTGAGTTGTGGTCCCACTCCCTGGAAGGGCCTCTGACTAGTCATCCTTCTCTTCCATCACGGCATTCAAATCTGAAAACTGTTAGCAAGAAGGCTTCTGTTGATCTTAGCTGCTGGGAGATTTCTCCCCAGTCCAGCCTTGAGCCCATCTCATACACTTGAAAATAAACTTCTATAGTTAAAGAGATGCTTAGACTGATGCAAACATATTTCATGCTTCAGGGAACAGACCAATAACCTGCCAAGGTCAGGAAGTAACACAAACAAACACAAATCAGCATTGTACAGTTGGCAAGATGTACTTTGGCCTGTGGAGCTTGAGTTCCTCTAAAAACATCATGCCTTGGCTGTAACCAGATACTGTATGTGTGTCATGATGAACAAGTTATGATGCATTTGGTTTACTTCACACAATACCTCTCATTTCAGTCATTCAGAACTGCGTAGGAGTCAACTGCCCCTCTTCATCAGATGGCGTTTTTATGGCTCTTCAGCACCCCTCTGACTTCATAATTTACTGTGAAGATTGATCCTGTGGGGAGCCACGATTGGCCTGCAGTTTTATCAAGGTGGTGAAAATGTCATGAATACCATATTTTTCCTGTTTGTCCATGACTGGCCTTTGTGTCCATGATTTTAATAAACTCATTTTTTAGGGGTAACTGTTGCCATGGGAATGGTCCCAACCTGGCCCACGTAATTTTAGCACACCTCAAGCTTGGACTGTGACTGTTCCACATTTTGTGATTAAAACGGCTGCAGCCATAGACATAAACTTTTAGGGTAGGTTACACTGCACAAAAACAAAAATACACTCAGCAGCAAGTCTCCGAGCCCACCCAGCTCTACAATCTCAGGCTGGCACTATGGCACTAAAATGAGCAGTACAGACATGCCCCTTTGTGCCCAAGTCTGTAGACCCAGGTTGAGACTTGCTGGCATGGGGAGGGGAGCAGGGAGATGGTTGTGATATAGACATATACTTAGCAATCTGGTCACCAGAGGTATAAAATGCTAAGGAGTAGATCGTTGTACAGAGGAGAAACATTTTCTCAACACAAGGTTGAGACTTCATAAAACATAATTAGAGGGTCAATGTTGCACTGAATGGTGCAAGAATCCAAAGATCAAATGCAAAACTAAAGATCAGCAGGAGCACTGGCAGGCACCTCCTGGCAAGTTAAAAACCTCTCCACACTCTATATGGTGAATCAGGACTTGTTCCTACACCCCCGCTGCATAGCACCTAACAGGGTGAGGATTAGGCATGCCTGGGGCCGCTGAACTGAGCCGTGATCTATTCTATGGTAATGAGTTGCTGGGTAGCTATTGCTCAAAAAAAAAAACAGTGCTCCCAGAGGGAGCAACAAAAGAGCTGTCCACAGAACTCCACGGCCTACCTCCCAAAATGCTAAGCAGCACGGCATTGAACTGAGCACCCCTACTGACTCTCCCCTCTATTCTCATATAAGATGGAGACCCAAATAGATAAAAAGAATAACTGAGCTTCCAATTCCACTTGATCCTGAACTCCCCAAGAATGTTCAGTTGGAGGATATTTTATAGACTTTTAATGTTGGAAAGACCCAAATAACAATCCGATTAATCTCAACACAATAAAGCTTTTAATCTAACATATCAGCAAATTCCTATTTCTCCATTTTCTAACAAAAATAACAACACTTTTGTTGCCAGTGCATTAATAAGATCCTATTTCTGCTTAGGGACTGAATCAAACCTTTGTTCTTCACAGCAAAGGATTAAGAAGGTTGCTATTTTGGTAATGAGATGGGGTAGAGGTACTTACATTGCAGCTGAGAACTAGGCTGGGTGCCTGAGAAGGGAATAAACACAGTTACCTCAAATGAACTTTATACTTCTAATCAGAATATCAAACTCTGTTAGTGTGATGCATATAATTAACAATAAAAGAGTGACTATTCATGAATAATTACAATTTGATAGCATGTTTAAGCTCATTTGCAAAATGTGCCTTATGTTGTGTAGAAAGTCATGAATACAGATTACAAGATGACAAAAAAACAGAAGTTAGTTACTTTCAGGGTAGTTTACTGGTCAGCTTTTTTTTTTTTTTTTTCATGCCAGACCTAATTTCTTCAGGATTTCTCACCTCGTTAATGGCGTGTAATGGAAAAATTGTCAGAAGAACAGAACAGAAAAAAAAGGTGGCAGAAAAACAACACATGGACAAGGACATTCAGCAAACACTCCAGAAAAAATAGCAAATCAGGGAGCTCAGATTCAAATCTTAGGGCACGACCTAGATGCCCAAATTGATTGAGCAAACTTTGTGAGGCTGGAGAAGGAGGCACTGACCTGTGAAAATGAAAGCAACTCTCTGAAAACATTAGTCATGTCAAAAATATGTTGTTTATAGTTATCATAACAAAATGTTTGTGCTTGGTTAAACAAACATATTTAGTATATGCAATCGTTGTAAGTAAAACATTTCCCAAAGGGTACATCCATAGGTATGACATTGTGGTTGGAAGTTAGAAAACATTTAAAATTACAGAGGGATTCACTTCTTGCACTTACAAATGGAAATACTGTATTTAGATGTGGAGTACATATACAAATTTCTAAATAAAATGTTACAACAGAATCTGGTATCATCTTCTGAAACAGCAAAAGTAGGCAGAGCAAGATACTTGCCTCAATATTTTACTCATATCCTGCCTCTTTGTGGGCTACTGTCATTATAATTGGTCCTGTAAATATTATAAAAATGCAACAATTTGATAACTTACACCCTGTATG